CATCATCCAGACTGATTTGTTTCGCCTCAAACTTGTCCTAAATGCCGACAAAACCAAAGGGATGTTTTTTTCAAATAGGAAGTTGGTCCCAGCAGTTCTTCCTCTGATTTTATCCTCAGATGGTGTCCCCATTGAGTTTGTTGATTCCTATAAATATTTGGATATCTTGGTCGACTCACATCTCTCTTTTAAGCTCCATGTGGAAAACTTGGTAAAGAAACTGAAAGTTAAAGTGGGTTTCTTTTTCAGAAGCAGATCCTGTCTTTTTATAACTGTCCATCGTTGTCATCATTCTTTGTTGAAATCAGGTCTCTCTTGTAAATGAGTCCTCGAGGCTCAATGGGATCTACATGTCTAAATAAAGGTTGAATGAACACGAGTGTGAACCAATCTCTCGTGTCACTCAAGCTTGAAGCATTTCTTCAAAAGACCTTATAGTTTTTACACAAAAGAGAGCAATCCACCCTTTTCCGACTGAGGACCATGGCCTCAGATCTGGAGGTGCTGATTCTCATCGGCTGCGAACCGTTCCAGTGAGAGCTGAAGATCACGGCACGGTGACGCCAACAGGACCACATCATCTGCAAAGAGCAGAGATGAATCCTGAGGCCACCGAACTGGACTCCCTCTGCCCCCGGGCTGCACCGAAAAATTCTGTCCATAAAAGTTATGAACAGAATCTGTGACAACGAGCAGCCCTGGAGGGGTCCAACTCCTGAAGGGGTAGAAATCCAGTAATTTATCATTTTGTAACATGTTACCATTGATACAAGTTGTTCAAGCTGCTGCCCCTGAGACCAAACCGGTGGCAGGGATGAGCGCTGTGTAAAAATGTGACCTTTGACCTGTAGATGTAGATAAACTGCTGAGTCTAGACCTGCCGAGCTGAACAAGAACTCCACTGAAGGCATCTGTAATGACCAGAACCGTCTGGCTGGGTTCTACCTTCTAGGCGCTGAGCAGCGTTGTGTCACATCCACCTGCTGGATTCGAGAAGAACCACAACCAAGAGCCCCAATGAGCTGTTTTCAAACACTGATATTTAGGAGGAACATCAGAACATCTTTATGAATCCATCATTGTCACTCTGATGTCTCCACATAAACATCTCTCGTGTGATTCCACCATGTTTGTTTACGTGCACGGCCTCCAAGCAGCCTGCTGTAGGTCTCAGGCGTCCATTCAGTGCTTTGTTTACACTGAGTGCAGACCAGCAGTCCAGAATTACGTCTCCTCAGAAGACCCGAGAAACAACTGGGGTCTTTCAAACAGCATCGTTTGGTCCAGTTCAGGAGAAACTTCATGACGTGTCATTTCAAGGTTTGACAAACTCACTGAATAAATCACATTTCAGAGTACCAGACAACACTGAGCCCCTTAGAATAATAAAAAAATAATAATGTTAATAATAATAATAATAATAATAATAATGTTAATGTAATGATCCGATATAAACCCACACAGTTTGATTGATTTACAAAGATTTCATTGAATTAATCTGGATTTTACAGTTTGGATCGATGCTGCAGCAGTCAGGAGGCATGGAGAGGGGGGGGTGGAGAGAGGAGGGTGGAGAGAGGTTCACACAGAGCGGAGGAGGAGGAGGAGGAGGAGGAGGAGGAGGAGCAGCTGCGTCAGAGCTGTTTGTGCCGAGCATCGTAGAGGAGCATCATCACAGACCATCATCATCATCAGCGGCTTGTTTACAGGTAAATGAACCTGCTGTTTCTCTCTCAGATGTGTTTGTTTGTTTGTTTGTTTGTTGTTGTGAGGATGATGATGACGGATGAAGAAAGATTTAAGAGAATTCTGCTGTTTCTGTGCTGCGTTCACGGACTCCCTGTTACACCTGTTATTTTATTTTATATGTAAAAACCCTCCGTCCTGCTGCGTGTGTGGCTGAAAGCAGAAATCACGTCTTTTGGCGCGCGTGCGTGTGTTTCCATTGTCTCTCCGCGGGGCGTTTTTCTCCGTTTGCTGCGCAGTTTGGGTCAGAGCTGGAAACCGGAGCGGATCCGGTTCAGACCTGATGTTCTGTTTCAGGAGCATCAGTGTGGGCTGTAGTGGACTCTGCAGACCCTAACAGGCTCGTTCTGGTGGATTTGATCGGATTATTTCGGTGTTTCTGTTGGTTGTAAAATGGAGGCTGAGGAGGAGGAGGAAGAGGAGGAGGAGGAGGAAGAGGAGGATGCCATGGCCGCCTCATCCTGCTGCTTCCATCAGAATCTTTCATTCATTCATCAGAGAAAAACCAGCAGTGATGATCATCAAATGTTGGTTTGATGGTTTCCAGCCTGACCCAGGTCTGATCCAGGTCTGATCCAGGTCTGACCCAGGTCTGATCCAGGTCTGATCCAGGTCTGATCCAGGTCTGATCCAGGTCTGACCCAGGTCTGATCCAGGTCTGACCCAGGTCTGATCCAGGTCTGACCCAGGTCTGATCCAGGTCTGACCCAGGTCTGATCCAGATCTGACCCAGGTCTTTACCAGGGCCCTGTTTATTCATTATCTATCCCTGACACTTAAATGACCAACACTAACACACTATGCGCTTTTTTTTTTCATTATTTATTTTAATATTAAATAGATTAATTATAAGATTAATTTTAAGAGACAAAGTTAAAATAATCTGATGTTTGCTAAAAATGTTCTCAGTTTTTGTTAATTTGCAGAAATCGTTTTTTAACGATGAGATTAAAATGTGTTTTAACACGAGGATAAGAAATTTTACGTGTTTTTGTTATTCGCACAGAAAATTAACATTGAAGATGTTTAAAACGAAAAGTTTCTAAGAGAGCAGGGACTGTGGAGGATTCTGCAGGAACCAAGGCTAAAATATTTTATTTTTTTATTAAATCCAGCTGTGAACATGGTGGGTCAGGATTTTTTAACATTCTGCTGTTCGGTGATAAAACTGAATCTATTCATCTTTATTGTCCTCCACAACAAATCTGACTCATCTGAAGCTGATGTTGATTAAAACTAGAAAGTTCTGGAGAAACTCTGATGCCACGTGGCAGCCATTTAAAATATGTGATTTGACAGTACCATGCGTTGGGTTCTCTCTCAGCTTCCACTTTAACAAATTTCTGCTCATTATGGTAAAAAATTATTTGAGGACTTATAATCACTTTTCTTTTAAGCCAGAGGCCATCTTGGATTTTCGAGTTGGATTCAGGGAACGTTCTCAGCTATAACCTCACCAAATGTGTATGCTCTGTATGTGTAAAAATAGCTGAGTTGAAGCCATTTAAATTTAGCTGTGGCAGCCATATTGAATCAAAATGGCTCCCAACATTAAATGATTATTTTCTGTGAGTTTCAAACAAATCCAACAAGCTGATCATGAGGTATGTTGCTAACAGACAGACCATCTACATATATATATTTTTTTTAAACAAAGTTTTTTTTATAAATTTTTTGTTTATGGGCATACAACAACAACAACAACAACAACAATGAAAGAAAAAACATAGAACAAAGAACAAGCTCCCACACTGGATCAGTCACACATACATAAATCAATAACACAGGCACTGACATGTTTTCCACATACAACATAAAAGTCTGCCACGTGTCCCAAAATCTTTGAACAGAACCCTTCAGGGTAGATCTTATTTTTTCCAAATGCATATGATCCATCACTTCTCTTATCCAATGTACATATTGTGGGGGATGTGGGTCCTTCCAACTGCACAAAACAAGTCATGTGACCAGGAGAGAGCCAGAAGCAATCACATCCTTCTCGTACTTGCTGAAGGACGTCTCCACAGGGAGCACCCCAAACAGTGAGATGAATGGTGATGGGTGAACAGTTTTGCCACATGTCCCAGAGGTGTCAAAAATAGATTGCCAGAAGGTCTGCAGTTTGGGACCGGTCCAGAATGTATGCTGGAGTGTAACTGGAGTTTGTTTGCAACGATTGCATGTGGGGTCCATGTTGGTTTTGATCTTGGACAACTTGGACCAGAGCAGCCGGTGCACCACTTTGAATTGAATCACAGCATGTCTCAGACAGATTGAGGATGAGTAAATGTTCTTAATGATCCTTCTCCAGACTGAGTTTGATATGAATTCCTCCAGGTCTGTTTCACATTTCAGTTTAAGAGAGTCCAAGATGGACTCATGATATGAACTGAGCAGTGTATAGATCTTGCTGAGGGCCTCCTTATCAGACCTGCATTCTAAAATCTTAACCACATAATGTTTAGAGGGGTACAAAGGAAAACAGTCAGTTAAATCTCACAGAATGTCTCAGCTGCAGATATCTAAAAAACTGTGACTAAACTTCTGTATCAGCTGCTCAAAAGATGCAAATCTACCATCAACGCACAGTGAATGTACTTCCCTCAAGACCCAGGTGTCAAAAGCTGCATCAGCTACTGAGGGAGTGAACTATGATTGACACAGATGCCGGAAACAGTAACTCTGCAGAGTTAAAAGCCCTCCTGAACTGAATCCAGATCTTAACCGCCCAGATAGAACAGATGATTGAGAAAAAGTGGCTAATGTGGCAAAATGTTGCTTCAAACAAACCTGCAATGTGTAGATACCGTAAGGTCTTTTGAAGAACTTCTTGAAGCATGGTTGAGACAAGAGACTGGTTCACACTCGTGAATTTTCACATTTTTACAGCACCATATGTCAGAGATATGACAAGTTAAAAACCCTTCTCACAATGCAATCAGAACAAATAGTTGGCAAAATTAAAATGGGGAAACAGGAGATGAAATGGTAGCACTCTGCCGTCTAAGCACCTCATGAAAAAACGTAGCTCCTTCATAACGCCCTCTCCAAACCAGACATACTGGTGGAAAGTCGACAAAAATGCCTACGTTTTGATATATAATGTATAAGCATATCTTAAAAGATGTGGCGGTAGGAAGAGGTTGTTCGATGACTTTCTGACTTTTGTGCAGAGACCACTCCCCTTTAGATCATGTGACCTCACTGTGGCAGTTAGAAACTGTTAGGAGTTCCGTCTGTGTTTTTCAACTAGAGAAATGGCATCTTTGCAAATTATGTCGCCATGGTAACTTGAAATGCCAGTAAAAGTAATAGCACACGTCACAACGCTGAGCCGGTTGTCTTGCTACATCAGACTGAGTTCAGATGGGCTGAAATTTTCTTCTTCTTCTTGTTTTTCTTCTTGTTCTTCTGGTTCTTCTTCTTCTTTAAGACTTTCCCTCTTCAGGGATCACCACAGCGAGTCCTCCTCCTCTATCTCACTCTGTCCTCTGTCCTCACTCCAACTAACTCCATGTCCTCAACATCTTCATTTCTGACACTTCCAGTTCTGTCTCCTGTCTTTTTGTCCATGTCTCTGTCTCCAGACCATACAACATAGCTGGTCTCACCACTGTCTTGTAAACTTTTCCTTTGACTTTTGCTGACACCCTTTTGTCGCAAATCACTCCTGAAACTTTTCTCCATCCACTCCATCCTGCCTGGACTCTCTTCTTCACCTCTTTACCAGATTCCCCATTTTCCTGGACAGTGGACCCCAAGTCCTTGAAGTCCTGCACCTTTGTGACTTTGTGTCACTGTTCAGTTCAATTCAATTCAAAAATACTTTATTAATCCCAAAGGGAAATTATTTGTTGTTGTAACTCATTGTCCTCATTTCATTAAAGATGTTATAGATGCTGATGGCTGTAGACAGGAAGGATCTCTTGTAAAGGTCCATCCCACAGTGGATCCTAAGAAACTGGCTGCAGATGCCATCCGATCAGTACACCCAGACTCGGCTGGCCTCTCGGTTCCCTCGGGCTGTAGGACCGCCCGAATGCCGAGCAGAACTCCTCCCAGAGCGATGGTCACTCCTCGTCTGCAGAGCTCCTCGTCACTGTGGACAGCCAACTGTAGGTGCTGAGGGACGATCCTGTCCTTCCGCTGTCATGAGCCGTGTTTCCTGCTAGTTCCAGGATCTCAGTGGTCAGACACTCGAGCACAGCTGGCAGGTAGATGAGAATGCGTCCACAGAACATCCTTTTCAACTCATTTGAGATTTGTGGCTGTGGTTAAGATATTATTTGAGCTTTTGAGATGTTAATCAGCTGCTGTTGGTTGTAGAAAACTGCCTTTTTGCCATGGTTACGCATCATAACAAAAGTCCAAAACTAAAAAAGTTTCAGTAAAAATCCTTCCAGCTGCACAGCATCTGATACCAGAAGAAACAATCATCCAAAAAATGTGATTTACATCCAGAAAAACAGGAATAAAAGTTTCCAAAAGCAAAATCTCAGAATGGAAGTAACAGAGCTGCTCCAACATGCAGCCACCTGGAGCGGCACAGTTCTAGAACAATTCTAGAACAATTCTAGAACAATTCTAGAACAATTCCACCTCCTCCCTCTCATTCACACACATGGACTCAGTCTTACTACGGCTGACTTTCATTCCTCTTTTTTCAAGTGCATACCTGCACTTCTCCAAGTTCTATGTTCTCACCACAGATCACAACGTCATCTGCAAACATCATAGTCCACGGGGATTCCTGTCTGACCTCATCTGTTAGTCGGTCCATCACCAGAGCAAACAAGAAGGGGCTCAGAGACGATCCTTGATGCACTCCCACCTCTACCTTGAAGCTATCTGTCACTCCTACAGCACATCTCACCACTGTCCTGCTGTCCTCATACATGTCCTGCTGTCCTCATTCATGTCCTGTACCAGTCTAACATGTCCTGATGTCTTCATACATGACCTGCTGTCCTCATACATG